TAGCCGCAAGGACACGGGCGGAAATTCTTGTCTGAAAGGTCAAACTCTTCGATACATAATGGGCTATAAACAGGTCAGACTTCTCGCCTTTGCTGGTGTTGCACTGCGGATCTTACCATGTCTCTTCGTCATCATCGATGACAGTATCCTGCGATCGACTCATATCGGTGAATACGATGATATTCTGATAATGTGAACCGCCTCTTTCGACTCCAGCACCACACGTCGCAGATGAAGAATGTTCTCCATGCACTGTTTGATGACCTGGAATTTGCTGGCCACGACGCGTGTGAAGTTATTACTCGTTCGGTAAGGGATGTAAGGCGATGAGATCTAGACACTCGTCGACGAATCTTTACGATGAAAAGGTGATTTGCTGAAAAGGTTCCCAGCGAGGCGAGATTGCAGATGCTTAGAATGTTCTTTCCGCAGCCAGGCAAGTGACGAGAGCGGCCTAAGCCGGAAGCGGACTAGCTCGGCACCTGTCTTGGCTGCGCTCGGGAAGCTTCATGACTTCAAGAGAGGGTTCACGTCGAATCCAAGGTGAATGAGGTAGACCAGGCGCCCAATATGGCTTCGACAAAGACAATGCTGCGCCTGGTAAGCAAGAGGCCGCTCATTGGAGCTCAACAATCAGCCAGAAACGTTCAGCGCGTTTCCATCTCTCAGTCGACCAGGCGATGCGCGGAAAAGGATAACGAGCAGAAGCTGCGAGATGCACCTTCAGATCTCCTCTCAGAACTGCGAAAGGCTCCCCGGCGGCGTGAGTCCCCTTTGCCTGTGTGGATTGATCGACGGACACTGACTGAGTGTATAGCAATGGGCAAGCTGTCTGCTCCCATCGTCAACGATGCAGACAAGTACGCCGACAAAGCACTACCCATGCACCAGTATGGACAATATCTCATGTCCTGCCTTCCGAAGTACATCCAGCAATTCTCTGTATGGAAGGATGAACTATGCATCTACATCACTCCTACTGGCGTTATCCCAGTTTTCACTTTCTTGAAGAACCACACGGCGGCAGAGTACACCATGGTCAGCGATATAACTGCAGTCGACTTTCCCACTAAAAACTACCGATTCGAGGTCGTTTACAACCTCCTCAGTGTGCGACACAACTCGAGGATAAGAGTCAAGACATACGCCGATGAGGCGACCCCTGTTCCTTCGATTACTTCCCTCTACGACGGTGCAAACTGGTATGAGCGAGAGGTCTACGACATGTTTGGTGTCTTTTTCACTGGCCACCCCGATCTGCGAAGAATTATGACCGACTATGGCTTTGATGGACATCCTCTACGGAAGGATTTCCCCCTGACTGGATACACTGAGATTAGATACGACGAGGAGAAGAAGAGAATCGTGGTGGAACCACTTGAGATGACCCAGGCATACCGTAACTTTGAAGGTGGCACGAGCGCTTGGGAACAGGTTGGTACTGGCGAGGATAGGAAACCGGAGGAATTCAAGTTACCTACACCCAAACCAGAGGAGAAGAAAGAGGAAAAGAAATAAGATCTTAGTTCTAGCCATGGCAGAGTCAACAATGGGTTGGCATGAATACTGGAATGGCCTTGTACATATGACTGGAGTAAACTGATTCGAATAAACAGTTATGCTACTTCAATCATACTCAGGTATTCATTTGTTAGAATTGTGCACGTGAAGCGATATCGAATTGATCGATTACCTACTCCATAGTACGGCCTGGTTTTAATACGCGCGGAATTTGAACCGTGGGCAGTAAATGGCCGTTTTATGTGCCGATCCATGAGCCTTTCTATCTTCATCACATACGCGCACTCCTGAGAATCTACTGACAATTGCAAACATCCGTTCGATGCCTCAACCAGCAGCCATGGCCACCTCATCCACGTCCCCGAAACCCAGCGTAGGGATCTTGTCGATTGGCGACATGGGTGTCGGAATAGCGCGGCTACTTCGTCACCACGGCTACGAAGTCTACACAGTCGGGGCAGGTCGAAGGTAGGTTCAAGACTGTCATGATGCATTTGCATTTGCAGCGCGTATTCTATGCTTTCCTCAGATGGCACTTTTTGCGGGAGGATTTTGGATTTCATCGACATTGTTGAAATCTTGTTGACGAGTTGCCATCACCGACAACATTGAACCATTCGTTGACGAATTTTTTGATGCCATCAAATGTAGTCAACATACTCTCAATCGGATAAAGTCGGCGCAGATCAAGGCGCTCGACACGGACGAAGCACTGGTCGCCGAGTCCGACATCATTCTCAGTATCGTGCCCCCACGAGACGCCGTCGCCACGGCCCAGCGAGCACACCAGGCGTGCCACTCCCACACGGCCATCAAGCGTAGACAGGAGAGGACGGGCCTCGGTCGGAAACTGACCTATGTCGACCTCAACGCCGTCAGTCCACGCACGACCAGGGCCATCGGCGCCCTTTTCAGCACTCCCAGCAATCACCTACCGACGTCGCCGCGCCTCCAGGGTATCAGACGGTCGTTCAGCTTCCACCGTGCAGACTCCGAGTCTGAGCAGCCCGAGCTGCAGCCCGTCGGGGTCGACTTTCTCGACGGCGGCATCATCGGCGGCCCGCCGTCACTCCGGGAAGATCAGACGTGGAAACGACCGTCGATCGTCCTCTCCGGTCCTCGACATTCAGAGGTGCTTCCCTCCGATTTCACCGAGCTCCTCAACGTCCGCGTCGTCGGCGACACCATCGGCGCCGCGTCGGCTCTCAAGGCCTGCTTCGCCAGTTTGAGCAAAGGCATGATAGCGCTGAGCATTCTCTCCTTCACGACGGCCCATCAAGCGGGCGTTCTCCCGGCTCTGGAGGAGCACTTGAGAGAGTTCAACCCGGGGGCGCTCGCCGCGGCCAAGAGCGGGCTCACAGGTATGCCGCCAAAAGCGTACCGTTGGGTCGACGAGATGAGGCAGATCAATGAGACGTTCGTCGAGGAAGGAGGCTTCGGCAAGGACGTGCTCGGAGAAACGCACGGCGTGTTTGATGGCATCGCCGAGGTCTACAAGCTCATCGCCGACGACACGGTACTCGGCGAGGAAAGGGTGGAGAGCAGGAAGCGAGGGACCGAGGTGAGTGATGTGGTCGAGTGTATTGGCGACGGAATCAAGGCGAAGAAGAGAAAGGTCGCCGGGGATAATTGGAGAAGAAATTGGTCATGAGCAGCACGGATTGTGTGATTTTGTGATGAAGTGAGGAAGGAGACCAGAAATTTGGCAAAGTGCTGCGTACCTATGCTACGCTACGATGTATTTAAATTGTTTAACGAATGACTTAGAAATGGCACAACATCGATGATGAGATGTCTTCAATTGTTCAACTGCTGCCGGAGATGCAGTATTTATTACCCGCAAACACAGGGACCGTCCGGCCTTTGAGCGTCCGTCTCTGACGATGTCCATCTGTATCCTCAGCTGACGCCAGTGGCTCTTGTTCGAGAAGTGCTCTGAACCTCCAACCCGTGCAATGTCCTGGCATCAAAAGACATGGCTTCAGCTTCGTCAGGTCCACAAGCGTGTTTTGCAGTCGATCTTCCGAGGCGTCCGCCAGATGGTACCCACCTACAAGGGCGTAGAAATCGTGTGACTTTCTTGCCTCTGTAGAAAAAGTGTCCAAAACGTAATCTGTGATGTTGATGATGCCTGCATGCGAACACCCGGTGAAAATCACAAGACCTTTACCCTTGATCCGACAGACCACGACTCTTTCTTCCTTGATCTCTTCGTCTTTGATCCACTGGCCCCCTTCTTGCCCTTTGGGTCCATCGAACCGCAAACCACCAGGGATTCCAGTTTCATAAATCGTCGATCGAGGAATCGGACCCGTCACGGCGAAGAAGCCATCCATCACAACATGGCTCTCACCGTCGTCAACCACGTCGGCACCCGCACCGATGAGTTCATCCGCTGTAGGATCGGCCTCGAGGCAAATCGGACCATTGGGCGTCGCAATTCCACGGTACAGAGGGCGGTCTGTAGGGACATCAACCACCGGCCCAGACAATGACGATCCAGTGGCATTCTTGGGTCTCGCAGCATTGACCATCTCGATGGCCTTGATCAACCCACCAGAGTGATCTCGATGCCAGTGTGACAATACAATGATCTCGACCTCGCCAATGGCATTGTCTTTCAAGCCAAGACGTCCGACATTGCGTTCAAATGCCTCCCCTTCCGGGCCTGCGTCGAACAGAAGCGTGCGGGTGGTGTTGCCCCTTGTAGCTTTCTGGAGATCAAAGTCAGCTGCATGTCTCACGACTATGACTTTGATTGACCTGCAAGAAGGAGACTCAATCCATGTGCGCCACAGCAGATACTATCCATGCGCATCTCCATGGACGCACCGCCACGGGATTTTGTCCATTTCGGTTCTGTGTGATGAAATTCAAGGGGAACACCCGCAAAAGACCCTGGTTGATGGACATTAGGATGCTGAGAAGGAGAAATCAAGTCAATCTCATCGTTGATGATTGCCGTGATTTCCAAAGAGTCGAGCTCAAGTAATTCCATAGTTTTTGACGAGGCTGGATAAATTAGCACTGCAGACACCACGGTATGACTCTCGATTCATCGTCAGTTTTATATGAGAAACTGCTTCCAGTCCGAGATGTCAGGCTTGATAATCGACCTGGTTCCAGATCATCAGAGGACACAGACAGTCTACATGGTTGGAGCAATGTATGAATCCCGAAGCAGAGGATTTTCAGAGATGTCGGCGACTCCAGACACCCACACTTCACACCATAGATGGGTCTCTTTGTGGAACATGGGTGTAATATGTGAAAAGACGATATCGAGGAATTAGTCATCCATTGGAGTGCGCGGTCCGCGAAGAGTCGGGAAGTGAACAAAAAGCAACACTAGTCACATGACGCCAAGTGTTCCTTGGATCCCCCAAAAATGATCTGTGTCTGACCCATTCTACACTTTAAAGAAAAAGTGCAAAAAATATACAAAAAAGAATATCGCAATCGCAAATGTCTGGGACTTGAGCCCGACGTGGGGGTCGAACCCACAACCTTGAGATGTGTCCTCTCGTATAAGAGTCTCACTGAGAAATTATCAGTATTTTGAAGGTGGATAGTTTGTATGAATTGAACTCACCGCTCTACCGATTGAGCTAGCCGGGCAGGCTTTGCTGCTTGTTGGAACAGAATTCACGAGATTAAACTTATGAATAAGAGAATTTGCGTCAGCGTTGTGTGGGTTATTGGGCACGGAGCCTTCTCCACCCCGTTGTCGCCCACCAACGTACTCCGTAGTACTAGTGTTCACAAATTCTCACATTTGGACTACGACACTTTTTTACTTGCGTTTGTTTGTTCATGGTCACAGTCTGATCTGTAATTACAAACCCAACTCCTTGACTAGAGAATACCCTCCGTCGAGTATGTAAATTGCTTTGTACATGAGCTCGTTGAGGATCAAGCCTTGATCAACACGGGCATATCGGGTCATTCTCCGAGTCAACCCTAAAGAATCCCCGCTCGACTTGGTGACTCGAGCACTCATATCTTCAGAGTCCTCCAATCGAGACCAACATGATGACCATTACCGATGGCGACATATACACTGTACAGTAAAGTAGGTACACAGTAAGTAATTCTTGACTTTGAGATATCGAGCGAGATCGAGCGACAAACCTTTGTCAACCAATTTTCTTTTACATGCTCAACAACAAACAATATGGCTTCTCCGGACGGTACCAACGGCCGCAAACAAGAAGAAACCAAGGACAGCATCTCGGCCGACTACGACCTGTCTCGACCCATCACATCCACGTCCGGTTTGAGGTCGGGACTGACGTCGTACGGAGATGCACATTTTTCGTTGTTCTTGCGAAAAGTCTTCATCAAAGCCTTGGGGTATTCCGACTCGGCACTGTCGTCGCCCATCATAGGCATCATCAACACGTACTCGTCCTTCAACCCGTGCCACTCGAACGTGCCGCAGCTCATCGAATCCGTGAAACGAGGCGTCCTGGCGTCGGGGGGACTGCCCGTCGACTTCCCGACCATCAGCGTCCACGAGAGCTTCGCGAGTCCGACCAGCATGTACCTGCGCAACCTCATGAGCATGGACACCGAGGAGATGATCAGGGCGCAACCCGTCGACGCCGTGGTCATGATCGGGGGGTGCGACAAGACCGTCCCCGCGCAACTGATGGGCGGCATCAGCGCCGACAAGCCTGCCGTGCCGCTGATCACGGGCCCGATGATGCCCGGCTCCGTGGAAGGGTCGAGGGTAGGGGCGTGCACGGACTGCAGGAGTTACTGGGCCAAGTACCGCGCCGGGGGCACCGACGTCGAGGACATCATGTCGGTCAACGAGGAGTTGGCCCCGACCGGTGGCACATGCGGAGTCATGGGGACGGCCTCGACGATGGCATGCGTTACCGCCGGCCTGGGTCTGCTCGAGTTGAGGGCCGGGGCGACGGCGGCGGCGGTCAGTTCCGCCCGACTGAGGGTCGCCGAACAGGCCGGGAGAAACGCCGTGGCGATGTTGAACGAGGAAAGGATGAGGCCGCAGGATCTCCTCACGCGGGAAAGCTTCATCAACGCCATCACGGTACTCCAGGCGATAGGTGGAAGTACCAACGCGGTCGTCCACCTACTGGCCATCATCAACAGGCACCCCAAAGTGGCCGGCACGATCGACCTCGAGACGTTTGACGAGATTGGCAAGAAGACACCTTTGCTCGTCGACCTCAAACCGAGTGGGGACAACTACATGACGGACTTCCACAACGCCGGTGGGATGTTGGCGTTGCTACACACCCTGAAACCACTACTACATCTCGAGGCGAGGACGATCAACGGACGGACCTTGGGGGAAGTGTTGGCCAGCACGCCGTTCAAGACGTTTCCATATTCGAGACAAATTATACGTTCGCTCGAAGACCCCCTCTACCCGAAATCGAGTCTGGTGGTCTTGTACGGCAATGTGTGTCCCAACGGCGCCGTCATGAAAGCGTCGGCGTCAAAGAACCGGAAACTATTACACCACCGAGGATCGGCTTGCGTGTTTGAAAATACGGCTGACATGGCCAAGCGTATCGACGATCCGGATTTGGATGTCAGTGAGGACTCTGTCCTCGTGCTCAAGAGTATAGGTCCCGTAGGGAACCCGGGGATGCCCGAGGCAGGGCTGATCCCCATCCCTCAGAAACTAGGCAGACAGGGGGTGCTGGACATGCTCCGGATAAGCGACGGGAGGATGAGCGGGACGGCCGGGGGGACCATCACGTTGCACATCTCACCCGAGTCCGCCGATTTGGATTCCGTGTTTGGGGTGGTCCGGACGGGCGATAAGATTGTGTGTGACGTCGAAAAGAGGATTTTGAAACTCGACGTCGAAGAGGAGGAAATCGCCAGGAGAATAGCTGAGCGTAAGCGACGGGCGGCTGCGGCGGATCAGGGCGGTCAATCTGAACAATGGATCTCAAGACGTGATCGAAGAGGGTATCGGGGGTTGTACGAGAGAGAAGTCAATCAATCCCATTTGGGTTGTGATTTTGGATTTCTTACGGCCAAGGGACCTACCTAGATGAGAAGGAGAAGAGCATATCACAGTAGTCACTGTAGTTGTCATTGTGATGATCCTATGAAGATAGCTGTAATACTTTGTGCTTTTACTACCTAGCCACGCACTTTGACCAACGAAGTACAGAGGTACTTGCAGTTCCGACCATCAATGTACTGTACAGACTGATAGTGATGTGTATTGCTCGACGGCGGTGATACGGTGAGACAGCGAAAGAAGTCGGTCAGTGGTAATAACCAGTCTTTGAAACAGGACAACCTCATTTCCACAAAAGGAAGTCGCTCTATGGCAAAAGGGTGAGAAGTAAGATGGAAAAACCAATACATCTGAACTTGAAGCCACGAGACAATTAAATCACAAGAGACAAACAAGGCATTTCCAACCATACAGGATAGAAAACACACCTATGGTAGAGACTCTAACCGTACAGAGTAACCAACTTGCCTTGTTGGTCAAGTTTGGACAAGTTTTCATCGACCGACATTGCCAAAGCTGTTTCCGCTTCAGGAAATGTGTTGTTGTTGTTTGACGTGACGATCACCAACTTGTACGGAGTACATACTCCCGTACAAAAATGTGGGAAAGCGGTGTGGGAAAGTCGAATACAATACGAGAAAGTCAAGGGGTTGGTTGGTTGGTTGGTGGCGTTTTGCCGACTTTGACATCCCTTCCGTCTGGGATGACATGCATTGGTTTAGGGTCAAGCTTGTTTTCCCGTCGTGTCATTATTGATCAGTCGTCGATCAGTGATCGAATTCAACCGGCGCAATACTTCCGGTGAGTTTGATTTCCCCCGGGGGGGGGGAGAGGGCAGGCTTCTACGAGTATTTTGTTCGAAGAAAGAAAGATCTTGCCAAGTCCTTTTGCAATAGAGGAATGGAACCGACACTCATTGAAAGATTTTCTCTCTGTTCGCTCGATGAAAAGTCCCCCTCCTGTGTAAGAGACTTGTATCGAGAGAAAGACCTTACGAGTCCACTATTGTAGGATCATCTGGAAATGTACTCCGTACACCAAGTCTTTTGGTCAAGGTAGTGGACCGGGGAATAACAACTCGCGTACTGTACAGTAGTTTGGTCGGCGAGAGGAATGCGGAAGTTTCCGAAAGAGGCAAAAGCTTTGCTATCGTTCCGTCTTTCCTGACCTTGACATCTCCCGGACGGAGTACGGAGTACGGAGTACATACATTTTGTCGGTAATGCATAGTAACGTACAGAACAGGATAGGTGACTGTGTTCTGTGGGGTTTTCTGAGACCTCTGTGGCGTTGCTTAAAGCAAGAATTCCTCACCTTTGACGGAGTGTAGACCCTAGAACTCAATCATTGTCAGCGCCTCATTATTGTTCACTGATAATACTGTACTCGTACTTGGTCTTGCTAGCGGTGACGATACCGAGTATTTTTATTCGTTTGTCGGTATCACGTTTGAATCTTTTATTCCGTACTGTCGGTTGGAATGTTGGATGATAAGCCGAACCAATTGCTTCTTTTGGTTTACCGGGCCAGTCAGGGGGGGAAAAACCATACATAACTCAGGCACGGAGACATACACACTTACCGCCACATATCTGTACCAGTACTGCAACTTGTCAGTAAATGGACATTTCTTACTACCATTACTATCTTGTAAAATACAGAATACAAAACGGATGTTGATCTTTGAAACGTGGCCGGCAAAAACCAGAAGAAAAAAACACTCCACTATACGGAACCAAAGAAAAAGGAATCTAACCGTAATAGGAAGTCAGTTCGGAAGCAATGATCACCAACATCCCGTACTAAATCGAACCCTGAATTCACGTATACTCTCACGGAGTACGGAGTAAATAAAGGAGGATACATCTCGTATTCGTCTAACGGCGCCTCACCGCCACGAAGAACAAAATTTGTGGTGCGCGGCCGTGGCTGGGATTGTGTCCTAGGTTGTTACATGAATTCGTATTCGGCACACATATTCGTCGAAGCGAGAACTTTGAAGAGGAGAGAAGCACCAACGAACGCGTGATAAGGAAATTAGGCGTGTGGCAAAAGTAAAAGAGAGAAAAAAACAATATGTGGCTGTCCTAGAAATGAGAAGTTCTTTCCCAAGATGTGTGCTGAACCCCTTGAACGCGTCGACTGAACTGGACTGGACCGGACTGAATCGAATTGGAACGTGATACTTTGTATCTATTGAAAATGTTACTGTAGTGAAGCTGCAAACAATATGAATTAATTACTTTACGCAAGAAACCCTTCTCCGAACCCACCTTCCCGCTTCAGGGTCCGAAAAAGTGTTTACAAGTAACCTCGACCAACGACGGTTCGCACTTCTCAGCCTCAACCCACTCCACCAGACTCTGACCAATCCCCTTTACCTTCAAAGCATTCTTCAACTCTCTACGCCGCTTCTTTCCACGATTACTCTGGGAAGTGCAACCGCTCGTCCAATGTTCCAATTTGAAGACGTCGACGGTCGGCTTTCTGACAATGAGAGTCTTCTCCTCGATTCCTTGAAAGACGATGACATCGCCAATGATCGCACAGGTCTTGGAACTCGACGGGACAACCCCTGCCCCACGCGAAGTCTGACATTTGCTCCGATGAG